GGTTCATAGACACTAAAAACGCTTTATAATATGATGCAAACAGTGCATTCTAAGAGCTGCTTTTACAATATATCAATAATGTTACTTTAATACAGGGGTGTCAAACTCAAATTCATAAAGGGCCAAAATTAAAAACTGGGGTTAAGTCATGGACCAAACTAAATATTTAAATGGAAAATTTCAACCACATCTGCATGTTTACTCTTCTTTCGAGATATGTAATGTTAAACCTTTTCTTATCAAAATAAATGCTTAATAATAGTTTTGCTTAAAGATTGAATCAAGCATAATATAAAAAAATAATAACAAAATTGTAAATAAATAATGTTTCTATATCTGTAGCCGGCGGGCCAGCTCTAATGCATATTTGATATAATTTTGCCAAATTTCGCCCCCAGGCCTGAGTTTGACATGTCTGCTTTAATACGTGAAAAGAACAAGATGGTACTGACCTGACCTATCACCTAACCACTTTGCTAACGTGTGTCAGCGTGGTTTATCTAAAATGTCATTCCATTTTAGATCCTTTTCTAGTAGAATGCGCTGGACCAGTCAGACACTGTGTTAAAATTCATTAATTCATGTAGCCCTTCTTAAAAATGCATTGGACTTAGCTTATCTACAGCACTGCATATAGTACAGCGTTGTACACTGCATAATTCATTCTCTCTTCATTCTCACTCCTTGCAAACTGTCTTTCTGACCACATTTACACCAGCGACGATGTCTTGCTCAAGGACACAAAGAAGTAAATATTGACAATAAACGGTAATAATGAAACTAATTTATGACACTGTAACAATAAAAACCCAAGAGCAAAATATTGTTCAACCTTTCAAACCTTCAACCTTAAAAAAAAAATCCCTAGTATTGCAAAGAAAATGCACACACAATAAATCTTAACCCCAAAAATATATTGTCTAGTTTTCATATATTGAAGTCCATCATCATGACAGGTCTAATTGACAATATGTTTTGCTCAAGGACACAGCAGCAGCATGCACGCAACCTTGGGGTAACGGAGGGCACTGCCACGAAAATAACCCGAAATGCAGAACAGCAGATTTATCTATTTAAAATTACACAAGTACAGCATTCGTGAAAAAAGTGCCTTGTTTTTGTTGCCTATTTTGAGGCATTGATCAGAAGGGGAAGTCCTGACACTGAAGAACACAGCGCCAGTGATGGGGTAGAAATAGCCTATCTGCGGAACAAGTTTGTAGCACTTTCTCACCTCTCACTTGCCCAACGCTATTTCAGTATCTCTGCGGTGAATGGCACGCTTCCCAGAATGCACCAGGAGAGGGATTGGTCTCATCCTGAAAGTGCCTTGTTCTGAATAGGTCCAAACTGAAGTTAAAGTATGGCGATGACCTTGAGGTTTGGAAAAGGATTGCGACAGTTTTTCTAGTCATGTCAGAATTTCATGAGTTGTACGTCTCTCAAGTAGCACCCCACTTTTGCCACATCACTTCATCTCATTTATATATATATATATATATATATATATATATATATATATATATTATATATATATATATATATATATATATATATATATTATATATTGTATATGTCTGAGTAACCCTTCATTATTAGTCTGTCTATATCTCCGAAGCTCAAAATGCTCTGTTCCATCTTGTGATGTCATGTAGGGGTAGTTCTCAAGTTAACAGCTACCTTTAATTTTTGTTCAGTAGAGACTGGTAACTCGAGGGCTGAAATTATCCAAACAATTCTATTGAATGTGTATGGAGTCACAAGGTGTTTTCAGTTTGAGAGAAGAACTCAGCCTGACTATGCAGGATTGTGTGTGTTAAACATGTGTGAATGAAACAAACCACAACCCCAGGTCTGTTTGTGATGAGATAACAACATTAAAAAATACATTTTAATAAATAGCATAATATGGGCTCTTTAAGCAATGTTATAATGCTGTTACCTCATCAAAAACATACCTGGAGTTGTGTTTTGTTTCATTCACAACCCTTAGTACTATTAGTGTGGGAGCCTAAACCCAGTTTCATCATTTTTTTCATTACTGAGATAATTATTCTTATTTTGTTGATTTAATATTTACTGAAAATGCATAATTTTTGGTAATTTTGGTAATCCTTTATGGTTATTTGTTGATTATTTGCTTAAAAAAAATTTGATCTATTTACATTTTTTCTTTCAATTAATTATTTCTAATGTTAATCAGATTTTTACTTAAGTAGTGCTTATTTTTTGTATTATTTTGTGGTCCATGGCTCCTTATTTAAGACAAGCGCACCAAGGTGCACCATAGGAATGAAGTAGAACCAAACAGTTTTTTGACCTCCTGTCAACTTTATGTTAAAGTTCCCCTTTCTTTTTTTAAAATGTATCTTTATGTGAATACTCAGTCAAGAGTTTTTAATGGCACTTGGATCGCTGTCTGTGGATTTTTGAGGCATTTTAAAAGGTGGAACAAGGTGCGCAAAGCTTCAGCTATGGCTTCACAAATGTTTAGACCTTACAATTAGTCTGTCTACATCTGCAAAACAGAACTCCAGAGATGTGAGATGTTTCTAAAAAAGAAACAATTTTGTCAGATCAGAAAACAGCGCATCATGGAATCTTTAAGCATGTAGTGTCATTCCTGCTTATATGCTGATATGAATGAGCAGTTACTTGAGAAAAATCAGTCATACATTACACAGCGCAACAAGCAGGAAGTCACGTACACTGAAATAAGAGTTGTCAGTATGTTTCCAAAGTGGTTATGGCAAGCAGCACTGCTCACAGTGTCAGTTTCACAAAAACTACCATTTTATAACTGGACATCTGGAACTGTAGAAGAATTGAAGTAGCTCTAGAGTGTAAAAAGAGGCAGCAGACTGGAAATGAAGAGTCAACACAGTGTTGGAGTGTTGTTCAATCGAGTCTGGCTATGCTTCTGTTGTAGGGAGTATTAAAGCTCTGATGATGCAGGCCAGAGAACAAGACCTAAGCTGTTGGGTGTCCTCAGTAGTACAATTTCCCTATCAGGAAAAATCCCCCCCTATATTTTCAAAAAAGGGTGAAACGCTCTGTCTCGTTCCATCCCTATTATTCATGTATGAAGCATTTATAGTACGATTTGCATAAGAATGGATTATGAAGATAAAAACGTGGTATGCACATTATACAATATGCTGATGGTTGCACGACAGAAGGAACAGTGCCTTGGCAGAGGTTTACTCCATTTTGAATGCTTAATTCTTTTGCAATTTCAATTCATTTTATATGTTGGTTATTTTGACAACCTGGATGCAAACTGATGACCTCTAGATGAGAGCTTTGTCTGTATATGTGTCACAAGCTTTTCACACTAAGCCACTCAGGTCATTGTCATTTTTCAAACTGAGAGCAGACCTATTATGCAAAATCGACTTTTCAGAGCTTTCAACCATGTTATAGTTGTTTCCCCTTCTCAATTCCCCTCTTGAAGTTGTATTTGGAGTGATTCATGCATGAAAGGCACTATATTATGCAAAATTGACTCTTATGCTCAGGGGAGATGGGTAAGACCAGGGCTGAAATCATCCAAATGATTCTAGTGAAGGTGTGTGAAGTTTAAAAACACAGTGGAGCACCTGTATTAACACACATGACCTCACAAGGTGGAACATTGTTTTCTGTCTGAGAGAAGAACTCAGCCTAAATATGCAGGGTTTGTGTGTTAAACGTGTGAATGAAACAAAACACAACTCCAGGTCTGTTTGTGATGAGGAACATTATAACATAGATCAGAAAATAGTGTAATATGGGCTAGGGATGAGCATGATTAGTTGACTAATTGATAACTGATCATTAAGAATTTCATCGATTACGTTCATTACTTTCAACGAATGTAGGTTTCTGTGTGTAGATATGGAGCTGCGTCTGACAGCGTAAACACTGGAGTTTCTGCCACAGCCCCACGTTTGGGCTCTGGCACCTCCTTGGAGACACTGTACCACTCAATGAGTGCGTTTACATGTCATCAGTGTCCCGGTTTCATCGTGGTGCATGAATACGCAGTATCCCGATTACTGCAACATAAAGAGCTGCGCTAAACCTGCACACGTACGATTTTTGAAAACATTGTGACACACACTCACAGAACAGTTTCACCTTCAACATCAACATCCCAGTAACAGAAAGAACATCTATATTCCACGGAGTCGTCTCCTTTAGTCCGACAGAAGCTGACCACATCAGCGCACAAGGGCATTTTTTTTTTCTCTGCTTAGTTTATGCAAATTAGCTATGCAGTTTTAAGTTTCGTTCCTGTAAGACTTGCGCAAAGCTGCATTAAACACATTCTAATCTCAAACAGGCTGATGTGTCCCTATAGTGGTTATGGTTTATATGCTGTAAAGTTGAATTTATTTATGCAGATAGTAATAATAATGATGATACTTATTATATAAAAAAACATTAATGATTAATCAAAAATCGATCGTTAATTCTTCCGACGATCGATTAATAAAATTTCATCGAATGCTCATCCCTAATATGGGCGCTTTAATCACTTATATTCAAGATGCCACATTGCAGATCAACCCCAGTTTTCACCACCACCGCTATATGTCTAAAAGTGTCTTGTTCTGAATATGTCCATATATAAGTTAAAGTATAAAGATAATCTTGAGTTTCAGAGTGGGGTTGTGACTGTTATTTCTTTGTGAGTGGTGTCAGAATTTCACGGGTGAGATGTCACTCAAGCAGCTCCCAACTTTTGCCACATCGCTTCATCTCATTTTATTTTATTTTATAAAGCACCTCCCAAAATGCACTGCCAACAAACGTCCATAAAGGGCCCATATTACACTATTTTCTGATCTATGTTACAGTGTTTCCTCAGCACAAAGTTGGAGTTGGAGTTTATTTCATTCATACACAAATCTCTCATTTTCAGTTCCACTTTTCACCACTACCAGTAAACACCCACTGCTCTGTACTTACCCTAAAATACCAAATAATAGCCAGGCCGTTTATTTATTTCAATCACTTAACAGACCAGGCATTTATTTGAGACCAGGCGGCGATTTGGGACAGACGATAAATTCCTTCCTCACAAAAACTGGGTAGATATGATATTCAAATTCTTTTAATCAATATAACTATAATTTACAGTTTTTATGGCACACTGCGGAGGAGGGGTCGCCGTTATACAATGACCTGGCGACTACTTTGCCTACCTGCCGCCTCGTCCCCTGCCTTTCCTCACCCCTTTGCCACAACTTTCCTCTTTCGCCACAGCAGCTACGATGAAATTGCTACTTCCCCCAAATTGCCAAAGTGAAGTAGTATTACAAAAACTTCTAATAACTGCTTCCATTTCCTTCCCGCTATGTTGCGCCATTTTTCTTTTTTTATCTCACTTCGAAATAGCAACGTCGGTTCGCCACAATTTCAGTGAAGGTGAGGGTGATCGGGCGCAGCGCAGAGAATATAGCCTATCCATTCCGAGTCAAACAGCCAGTCTGGTAAAGGCAGGACTGAACTGAAGTCAAACTGCTCCTGTGTTTGCTTTAAACATCAGGCTCTCTATGATCTCTCTGTGCTAATCTTGATATTTTAGTTAAATAAATCACAAAAAAACATGAAATGGGACTTTGAGCAGAGTTGTCGGCAGCAGCCAGAACGAACCGCTTTCTATACGGACTCGGCATTTATTTGGAACCGGCAGTTATTCATCAAAATATACACCCGGATTAATTGAAACCTGGCTATTATTTGGTATTTTATGGTACTTCGTTCTCCAACTTTATTTTCTGAATCACTGATACAGAATCCGGCAGTGGTGCATAATCTTTTTAATACAAAAAAAAAAATCTCTTTTAGTGTGATCTTTTAAACTTTTTTTGAACAAGTCATGTATGCTTTTATTTCATCACGCCTGGACTACTATAATGCACTTTATTCCGGCATCCCCCAAAATGCACTTTATTGACTACAGTTAGTCCAAAACTCTGCAGCACGACTTTTAACAGGAACAAAAAGGAGAGAGCACATTACCCCAATCTTTGCATCTTTGTACTGGCTTCCTGTTAATTTTAGAATTGATTTTAAGGTTTTATAGTTTGTTTTTAAAGTTTTGAATGGACTGGCCCCACAGTACGTCTCGGACCTCATCCAAATTTACACCCCCGCACGCGCTCTGAGGTCCGAGGGCCAGTTACAGCTCTTACAAGACTTAAAACCAGGGGGACCGGGCCTTCTCTGTGGTCGACCCTAAACTTCGGAACGCTCCCCCCATGTCTGAACAGAACAACAAAATGGAGAGTTTTAAATCTCGTCTTAAGACCCACTTTTACTCTCTGGCTTTTAACACCGTGTGAGTTTTATTTATTTTTTATGTATTTTATTGGTTTTATTTATTTATTATTTATTGCTATTCTCTGATTTTGCTCTTATTGTATTTTACTAGTTTTATTATTTTAAGACTAGTATGATCAAATCTGAGCATTTATTTGATCATTTTATTATTGTTGTTATTATTATGTATTTGTGCAGCACTTTGGAAACTGTGAAATACGCTATAGAAATAAAGTGGATTGGATCGGATCTGCAGCTCTTTATTGCAAGTGCCAACTCTTTGTTATGATGACATTTATGTCCCCATTGGGCACCACAGTTTTTTAACATATTTTTTTTTTATTAAGTCGTTTTAGATAAATATTGTAATGTAAAATGTGCAAATTATAACGCAATGAGCCACTGGTGTCACAGATTATAACTGTATAGCAGGCTCAAGCACAATATGTCTTCTTTAATATCTTTACAAAATATACAATAAAGTCATGACATTATGCTAAAGGCGCACTGGGTAACATTTCTAGGGTCTGCCACCTGCTTGTTTCCATGGAAATGTTATTGATTTGTCTAGAATATTCCACAGAATAGATTAAACCTGTCTATCAGGAAGAAGACAAGCATGACACTACATTACGATTCAGATCCTGTGGAGACCTATTCACAGAAGGAATTATTGTATTTTTGAGCAATAGAAAAACACAGTGATGAAGTAGTGAACTTTTTGTGTGTGACTTTGTACAAAATGTGGCATTCTCTGTTTGCCCGACTGCCTCTAAGGGTAAATCGTTTTTGTTTTTTTGGGGGGCGGTTTGGCTGCCATAGACTGAGGGCGTCTGGCTGCATTTCATTTAAGGACGAAGGCAAAATCTCCACTGACGCGCGCTCATTGTAACGGACAGTGAATGTATGTGTGGGTGAGTCACAGATGAAGACTTCTTTAGGCAACCGTCTCAACTGTGAATCACCGCATCTTCCCAGACATACTCAAACAAGTTTCTGGTGTTTGGCCTATTTTTACAGATGCATTTGCTTGCTCTGATGATGCGGCGTGTTCTAGTTCCTTACAAGGTGCTTTAGTGATGTGCTGGAAGTGTCTATCCATCTACCAAGAAGACATAAGACATACGAAAACAAAGTTGTAGTTGAGAAGAAATAAGTTTGCTTTAATGATTAGATAAACTTTGGAGTTACATTTTAAAAATAACCCGCAATAGGTAAAATCTGCTTATATTTATACAATTATATCTGTTTTATGGCTGTAAAACCCCTCACCACACACTTTAGACACTTTTCTCAGACAGGACAGTTACAACAACACTTTTTGTATCCTTCTTAAAAATTATTGCTGCTGTCACGCTCATACGCTGTAAAAAAAAAAAAAAAAAAAAAAAAAAAAAAAAAAAAAAAGCATGCAAAATTTAACTAAAAATAATCCATGAAACAGAGATCGTGAAAGGTGATTCGCGTTATAGTGAGGAACAGCTGTATGCAATTTCTCTTAAGGATGTATTCATCTCGTTACGATGCTTTCATGGTATGCAGCTCACAATAAAATATTTATTGCAATATTTTGTGGAGGCTAATCAAATTGTGAATATGCTACTTTTTCCTTTTTTAAATGTCTTGACGACAGCTTTTCGTTCTGTCATAATGCAAAAAAGAAAGACTTAAAAGTGCTTATAATAGTTACTGCTTCATGTAGTCTGCACAGAACCAGAGCAAAGGATCATGGTCTATGTAGTTCTCTAAATTTTTAGCTATTGTTGCAGCATTAAATTAAGCAAAGAGACTTGTAATTTGATATGTTGTGATGGCACGTGATATTATTGTGAGATTTTTGATGAAACAATATCATGGTATTTCAATTATTGTTGCATCTCTGATTTTTGGAGGAAAATGTCTCCCAGTAGGACATACTGTATATGGTATTTGACCCATCCTTCAATGCCACTGGGACAACAGCTTTAGTTTCCTTTGGGATTACCTTATCCTACCTATACTTTATAAAACGGCATATCTACAAAGCTAAGCTGTATAAATGGTTAATAATCACAAACGAATCATGGTTTAAAAACTACCTACTCATTCATAAATGTTTAAAGTTGTAGTATGTAAAAAATTTTGAAACAAGTCTCTTGCATATACAAGTTAGCAAGCATATTTTCAGTTGGTCACTCTCATCTTTTTGTTAAAAATAAAACACCTAAACAGGACCATTCAGGCTCCTGAAAATGTGTTTTTAAATCAATTTATTTTTTTTACTTTCGGACTATATTAAAACATTGTTGGCAGTTTTTGCCAATGTGTGCATTGTGTCACCGTGTGTCATGGCTGAACATTTCACAAATAGAGATATATTTATAACACTCCCAGTCTGATTCACTGTATCAACAGAAAATTAAAACCATACTTAGGACCATAAATATAGATAAATTTTTGCCACAGTATGGATGCAAGCCCACTCAGAGTAAGAACACACAAGTTTCAAATGTTTTTCAGTGCAATAAAAACATCCATACTGATAATCATGCTAATTTAGTTAGGGTTGTAACAGTACACAAACATCACGGTTCAGTATGTACCTCGGTTTTGAGGTCATTCGGTTCATTTTTGGTACAGTATGGGAACATAATGCAAAACCATTTGCTTGTTGTTTATTTGTGTGTTTATTAAACCAACAAGTGGATGAGATTTCATGCCAGCAAAAGGCGAAAGTGAGGACCGCAGTGCAACACCCGTAGTTTTGTATGGATTCACGTGGTTCAGAGGGACGTAGTCAAGGTGGTGTTGTCAACGAAGCTGCCCTAACTATCAAGCGCTGCGGGAAACACTGCCATCCCAATCACAGATGAGTTCTCTGTGAATATTAAAGAGCTGAGCCTTCCATGTAGCTGCACATGTAGTGGCGTAACGTAAACACGCAAAAATTGTGCAAATTCACTTGTATTGCACCGAACCGAATGTCCCGTACCAAAATGGTTCGGCACGAATACATGCACCGTTACAACCCTAATTTTAGTCAGAAGAAAAGTTACATACTATGGCTTTAATAGAAAATTTCTACAAAAATTATTATTAAACATTTGTTAATGAGTAGGTTGTTTTTAGTAGGCCACCATAAAGTGTTACCTTTGTAAGTTTCATCCTGGTGGACGTTTCTGGACCAACCAGACACGGGGAATCAGACCTTCAAACTCCACACAAAAAAACCCCACTTGCCCAAGAACAAACCCAAGACCTTTGTTGTACGGCTATGAAGAAGATGGAGTGTCTGATGTGACTGATGGTTCTGCTGCTGCGGTTTAGATGGTCCAGATATTGTATTCACCCTCATTAAAAGTACAGAACAAGTCATTATAAATAATTAATCAAACATTAACCTTGCTCATAGCCGCTACTCTCAGCAACTTTGACAAATTAGCTTGCTGCGTGCATTTTTCAGATCTTGTCCTTGTTCTGAGCCCTAAAGACATATGGTACATCCCCCGTCTGATGACTGTACTGATGAAACCCCAAAACGTACACTTTCTCCTCAGTTAGCCTGTGATCGGTCCAAGGTCAGTGGAGGCGTTAGCGTCTTGTTAGCGTGCCAGGAGTTAATGGAGGGCACGGCAAATCAAATCAGCCCTGGTACCGCGCTAGCATGCTAACGCACTCGTAGCGTGCAACAACAAAACGTGCTGCCGTGTCAGTGATTAAAAAGCACTCCGAATAATTACATGCATTGCGGGTAATTAACCTAAATGAATGTGATTTTATTGATGCGAGGAGCGTTGAGGATGTGTCTCTTAACGTGATGTTTTTCTAAGTGGTGAGAGGAGATAATTCAGCATGGCAATTTGTTTTTATTTTATTGTTTGCTAATTACTGTGGTAGACTGATGCGTGGTGCCGCTAAGGGTTTTTAGATTACGGAATGTGATTAGGTTGGAAGTATACTATTAGCCAAGGCTAATTTGACAAGCTACATTTAAGTACGGTGTAAAGTTTTATACATTTTGGGAATCAAAAATTGCTTAAATTGTACTCTTGTGAGCTTAAAGTCCTGTTAAAATGTTGTTACCTTATCAAAAACATACCTAGAGTTATGTTTTCTTTCAGTCACACATGTTTGAATGATCCTTTTATTATTAGTCTGTCTACATCTCGAAATGCTCTGTTCCACCTTGTGATGTCATGAATATGGTTGAGTATCATTCAGAAGTTGCAGATATGATACATACCCCGACACATAGGCCACGACACGATGCGTATCTCGATACAGTGAGCTTACGATACAATTCAATACGATATATTTCAACTCAATTTGATACGGTTCAATAAAAAACAATGGCTAAATCTTGGCTGTGATACTGAAAATCTTTGTTAAACCACTTCTTGTGCAAAGTGAATATGAAACACCAACCTTTTAATCATCAAAACAGTGAAAATGTCAAATGTGTCGCATAAACAAGTTTCATTCCTCTAAACAAGCAACAAAACTGTAGTGCTGTAACAAAATAATTTAGTAAAATATACCAAAAAATACTCCTGGAAATGTATCGATACAGCAGCCCAACGAATATCGATACTGTATCATCAAATTAAATAATACGATATATTGCTATTTCGATATTTTTGCGCACCCCTACTTATGAAGCCGAAGTTTTGAAGTTAACAGCTGCCTTTTACTTTTATTTCTTAAGAAGATCGGCAATTCCAGGGCTGAGACAATCCAAATGATTTTAGTGAAGGTGTATGGAGTTTAAAAACACAGTGGAGCACTTCCTATATTACCACATAACATCACCTTGTGATAAGATGAGAGTGTGTTTTTTTATGTTTGAGAGAAGAACACAGCCTAAATATGCAGGGTTTGTGTGTTAAACATGTGAATGAAACAAAACACAACTCTGGGTGTGTTTTTGATGAGGAAATAACATTATAACAGAGTAGAAAATAGTGTAATATGAGCCCTTTGAAATTATAAATAAATGAAAGCAGCATGCAAGTAAGTGAAGACTGTAAAGAAAACATACTGTGCTTGCGTCTGCTATATAGTTCTAATCTATGACACCAGCAGATCATTACTTGTTTAGCATTGTCCCATTGTCTCCTTGAAAACGTACATAGACCTAGTGTTGTGTTGCATTCTTCTATTTCAGCATGTCACGGGTCATTTGATGTAAAGAAAGCAGCGGTCCTGACTCAGCCCAGCCCATGTCTCGTATTCTCTTACAGGTGAAAGTCAAAGCTGTGATGGTCAATATTTCCGATCTGAACACTGAATGCAATGACTAGATGTAATGTGATTCGGTTGACGCCACAGCCAAGGCTCCAGAGGTCACCGTCTCTGGATTTACATCTCATCCCAAGAGCCTTTATGAGCAGGTAAGTTCCTATGGTCATAAGATTTAATTTTTATAAGCATGCTTCGACTCACCATAACGATAATATACAGCGGATGCACTTTGAACCTGATTAGCAAATCCTATATAGCTCCTTCAAAAACCCATAAAGTCCAGTATGAGCAATAAGACAGGCGTATTAACTGTAATGTAAACAAGGTCACTGTGTACGCGCAATGTCAAGAACACCTTTCTTTAGAGCCGGGAATCATAGGGTGCTTCACAATTCGATACGATACATGGCTCTTGAGAAGTTAATATGAAATACATCTATTTGTAGGTGCATTGTGTCACTTTTCTGGCGAAGGGTCAGTCAAATGTTTTTTTCTCCTTGGAGATGTTATTCCTTTGTATGGCATTAAACCTTTCTATCTTCATGGAGACCAAACCAGACCAAGTTACAGGTCAGGTCTTTGGAGTGGCAACCCTGCTTACAGTCAGAATGCCTGTTTTTCTAGGTATTTTTGAGCTATAAAGCCAAGTAGAGCAGTTTTGATGTGGAACTGTGGAACATTCTAGTTAGAGCAATGACATATCCATAGAAACAAGCCGGCATGGACCCCCAACCAAAAAGGAGCGCACTTTTATTCATCAGAACAGGGAATATGACAAGTGTATTGCATGAGGATCAAAATTGTAGTTGCTAAAAGATATAACAAAATATTCTTTGCGATATATCGATACAGCAGCCCTCAGTAATGATACTGTATCCCCAAATTTAGACATATCTACCGTATTTTTCAAACTATAAAATGCATAATGAAGAAGAAAAAAACATACATAAGTCACATTGGACTATAAGTCACACTTTTTGGGGGAAATTAATTTTATAAAATCAGAGACCAGGAACCAATATTTTATCTTGAAAGGCAAGTTCTAGTAATAACAATAGAACAGAAAACAACAGGCTGTTAACGTCACATATGAACAGTTCTTCAGATAACTATATCATAAACAACAGAACAGTTTAGCAAGTTTACCAAACTCTCCATCTTACTCCAACTCACGAAATCCATTGAATTCTTCATTCTCGGTGTCACTTCTGAGCAACTCGGCGACCTCCAGAGGTAAACAGAGCGCAGCTTCCTCTTCTGTGTAGCTGTCGTTAGACTCAGCATGATTTCCAATTAGAATTATTCCGGTCTTTCTGAATTCCAGCAGGACGTTTTCGGTTGTCTTTATAATTTTCTTTAAATTAAACATTTTCCGTGGTACAGAAGTAATAATACGATTGACTGACATGATACCAGACAGGACAGCGGCTCTTTCTGCAGGAGACATGCGCAGCAGAGTGTGAGTAAGAACTAATAGGAGTAGCAAATACTGGCACACAAGCCTAGCTCACCCTATCACCACTGTCAGTGTGAAAATTTAAATATATATAATTCGCACTGGCGTATAAGTCGCAGGACCACCCAAACCATGAAAAAAAGTGTGACTTTTAGTCCAAAAAATATGGTATATATATTTCAATATATATTTTCGATATTTTTGCACATCCCTACCATCCATGATTCTATTCTATTCATGAAGTAGAGCAATTTGCAGTAAATTTTATAAAAAAGACCACACAGTAATGAATAAATAATACGTGTTAAGCAATGGCAGTCCATCATGGTTTGCCAGTCTGCTTTTATTACATAGTGAGAAAAAAAAAAAACAATTGGAATGGTTGGTAAATATATAATCATTGTATGTATGGCACTGCAAACCCCACTACCATGTTTTAATGGATTGGTGGAAAGCGACACATAATGGCTCTTTGGCTGCAATTCCTCAACAGTGAAAGCCTTGCTGGAAGTGATTTGGCTCTTCATTATAAAAATAGGGGAGGGCCAACACTTTTTACAGTAAATGTGTGTTCTTGTAAATGTTCCTGTTTCTAACTAGTTTAAAGGGCTTGTGTTGCGTCATTTTCTCAGGATGTAACGATATCCAAATCTCTCGGTACGATATTTATTGTGATATTTTGGAAAGGACACATTTTTGCTTTTAAAATACCTTAACAAGATTTTAGGGTGAAGTATTTTTTTCGTCCTAATCCAAAGAATTCAAGTAAAACACATATTTCTTCATACTGTCTGCACTGAAATGAATCATGGGATATGTAGTTCCCTGTTTATAAGCTGTTGCTACAACAAAACAATGCATTTAAGCAAAGGAACTTGTAATTTGATATATTGTGACAGCCTATGATATTATTGTGAGGCTTTTGACGATACGATATCACGATATTTCGCTTATTGTTATATCCCTATTATTTTCTGATCTATGTTATGTTTCCTCCTCACAACCAGACCTAGAGTTTTCTTTCATTCAGTGTTTAACTGAAAACACTCAGGTCCACCTTGTGATGTCATGTGGTAATGCTGGAAGTGCTCCACTGTGTTTTTAAACTCCTTACACCTTTGCTAGAATCATTTGGGTAATTTCACACCTGGAATCGCCAATTTTTACAAAAAAAAAAAAAAAAAAAGTTAAAAGGGAGCTGTTAACATGAAAACTACCACTTTGTGACATCACAAGCTGGAACTGGGCATTTTGAGCCAGATTTATCACAAAGGGTTACTCAAACACCACTACAGGTTTGTTTTTGAGGCGGTAGCAGGATTTGACATGTACAAGAGTAAATTTTCATAATATAGGGCCTTTAAGATTTTATACACATGATTGTTGGATTGTATTTCACTGCTTTCTCTTACCAAAAGCAATGTTATAATGTTTCCTCCACACAAACATACCTTGAGCTTTGTTTTGTTTCATTCAATGTTTAAGACACAAATCCTGCATATTTAGGTGGAGTTCTTCTCTCAAACTGAATAGACGCTTTGTGGCATCACAAGGTGGAACTGAGCTTTGCAGATGTTGACACATTTATCATAAGGGCTTGCTCAAACACCACTACAGGTTTGTTTTTGAGGCAGTAACAGCGTTTAACACTTACAAGAGCACATTTTCTGTAATATAGGGCCTTTAAGATTTTATACACGTGATTGTAGGATTGTATTTCACCGGTTTCTCTTACCAAAAGCATCCCTGAACTCTACCTCTGGGTCACTTCTTCATGAAACGCATCTCTGGTCTTTTCTTAACATCTAACTCGCCTTAACTCATGTCCTCTTATCTCTTCATGCTCTCCCATCTCCAAAACCCCTCCTTTTGTGCCCACAGCCCTGTTCCCCCCATTGTTACCTCTGCTTTTCTTTCTGGCCGGACACCTCCACTCCCATCTTCCACAGCATTATAGGAGCGCCCAACCAAGAAAGGAAAACACAATTTGTATTCAGCACCATAGCCTGGATGTGCAAGAGGGGGAAATAAGAGGAGGAGAGAGGGGCGGGGCTCTGGTAAAGATTGCCCAAAGTCAGGGGTGTAAATCTCGGTATACAGTAGCGTTTTGATATTTCGACCTTGAGTTGACGCCCGAGCGACATGCTAATTCACAACCATGCAAAAGATAAACGATTAGATCTGGTTTAGTCTTGGTTAAAGGTGCACTGTGTCATTTTTCTGGAGGGGGTCTGCAACCTGTTTGTGTCCATGGAGATGTTAATGCTTTGGTTTAAATTGTCCACAGGATGGCATTAAATTAATCTGTCTTGCATAGATTCAACTACAGGTGTTATTTATTGCTCAAAATGATCTTAAAAAACATGAATTCTCATTGCTGGGTCGCCTCTCCACAAATCTAACCTGTAATTTGGCTTGCAAGTCTCCATAAATTCTAAAATTTACGGTTATGCTGTGAAAGACCAGCAGGTGATGGACAGATTACACAGTGCACCTTTAATGCTGGTATTTTTAAAGTCATCTATTATCTTAAACATGTCTTGAAATTTGGGGGAAAAACCCTAACTAGTTCATTTTAAGATGTTTGCAGAAGTATTTTTGACCTCAGCAGCTACTTATACATTATATTTGTACTGAGGCAAGAAAAAAATTGAAAAAATACATGAAAATAAAATGGGTGGAGTTCCTTTAGAGAGCCCATATATTACACTGTTTCCTGATCTATGTTATAATGGTGTTTCCTCATCACAAACTCGAAATACTCGGAGTTGTATTTTGTTTCATTCTCACGCATTTAACACACACACCCTGCATATTTAGGCTGAATTTTTCACTCAAACAGAAAACACTTTTTAAACTTCATACACCATCACTACACTGCAAAAAACTAAATCTAGCCAAGTTAAGATGACTTGAATTAAGAAAGTTTTACCATGATCTGAGTAAATTTCACTTGACAAGTAAAATTATCTGCCAGTGGAATGAGACTTTTTGTACTTAAAATATGAAAATACATCTTGCTTCACTTAAAATAAGAAAAACAACAACTTTTTACACACACAATTGAATGCTGCTTAAATTAAGAAAAACACACTTATTCCACTGGTAGATAATTTTACTTGTCAAGTTGAATCGACTCAGAGTCAGATGTTCTTAATTTATGTCATTTTAATTTAACAAGATATTGTTTTTGTTCCAGTGTAGGATCATTTGGATAATTTCAGGCTTTGAATTTTCGATCTCTGCTGAAAAAAGTTAAAAGGTAGCTGTTAACTTCATGCCATCACAAGGTGGAACAGAGCATTTTAAGCTGCAGACAGACTAATAAATCAGGATAACTCAAACATAACTCAGATATGTTTCTGATGAGATAACAACATTCTATCATGGATTAAATCTCACGAGTAAATTTTGCTTAATATCTGATCTTTAATGTTTAAGATAAAAAAAAGGAGTGTTCTCACTACAGAGATAAAAAATCGTATTAAAAAAGCAGCTTTTAATATTTTCAGTCCAGTATTCCCCCACCGGCAGCATCATGTCATTTTAATCATTCATTTTTGCCCACAGAACACTTAGCGGTTTCGAATAATTAGCCGCTCATCCCGTCAACTGTTATTCATCCATCTCATTTTGTGCATCATTAAACTGGCTCTTGGTGTATGGGCACGTGACTCTCCTCCGCTCCGCAGT